TTTTTCCTCACCAATTATCTGATCATATCAACAAAAAAACCCCAAATTTCCATGCAGCTAGAAACTAATTTTCTGAGTGAATAAATATTGACTAAAACATGAAATTTTGATTATATTCATGCCTTCTATGAGACCTTCATAAGTTACTTTTCTTCATGCAACTGTATTTCTGCTGTGCTAAGGGTCTCACCTTGAAAGATCTTTGAGGCATGCCTTGACTTTCATGATATATCTCTTCATTGTCTGAAATTGCTCCAAAGCTCCCCACTGTATAAATAAAAACTAATATTAAAACCTACTCTCAGAAAAAGTAGCAAACTCTTAGAGAAATTCAGAATAAAAGCCAAACACAATGCTTCCCCAGCGAGCCCAGCTCCATCCAAAGTCCTAGTTTAACACAGAATTATTCCAAATCTGGTCCACTGTCTGAGAGTTTGAGATAATAAAGCAAGGAAAACACATATAAAATTCAGCTCCTGAATTTAAAATTTAAAAAATATTCTGTCACACAGGTTCCCAGCTGCTTTCTCACTGGAAACTGTCTGCTCCTGGTCACTGCCAGGAAAAGTTAAGACACCTCTCTAGGCTTCAGCTGATCTACACATAATCAGTCCTGTGACGCATAAACAAAAGCTGTGCTTTGCATAGATATGAATTGTCATTTGACAGAAAATTCATTCTGGGTGAAATGCTTTGCATTTTGCAACTGCAGATATGCCAAATCTTTTAAGTGTAAAGCTCTAAGGCAGAAAATGACCTTATGAAGCTTTCTATTCAGAGCTGTATGACATCCTGAATGAGTTCAGGAACATGCAGATGGCAGCTGAAAAAAGACAGCTGATTGCAAAGCTCTTCAAGATTACCATGAAGAACAAATATACAGTCCATTTATTTCTAAAAAATGTAAGTGTATTTTCAATTCATTGGAATGCCTTTTTTATTGTGCCTGAAATAGCAGTGCTATTCCAAGTGAAATATCCTGTCAGGATGCAGAGTAAAATGCTGAAATAATATGTACTGACATTCCAACTTTAATATGTAAAGAAAATATGTGAGAATCATAGTTGTTGACATCATTATTTTACAGCTACCACTGCTTTGCCATGATGAAAGTAATGTCTTTCCCTAGAAGTTGCTAATTGTGTTTTACTGTTGTCCCCTTGCACAAGCAAGGGAGAGAGGGTTGGAGTCATCCAGGAGAACAGAGGAATATGCACTTTGTAAAACCAAAATATTTACCAGTGTAAGACTCTCGGGGCATTTTTTTAATATGAATTTTTAATATCAATTTATTCTTAGATTACAATTCAAGGTACTTTTTCAATTCCATTCAGGATTTTATATAAAAAATTCATGCATTTCCTAGCATGTATTTAAAGTTGAAGGAGTGTTCATCTCCTGGTTATTTTAAAATGAATGTGAAAGAATTTTCATAGAAAATGGATTTAAGAAATGTTACCATGATTTTTTATTCTGGAGACCTCATTTTAAACGTACTTTACTGCATGCATGAGCTGATCAACCTCAGGATAAGATTCTGAGTGAAAACTGAACAGTTTCCCTTGTTAGTAAGTTTTGAAATTGAAGAGATGAATAATGGGACTGTTATAAGAATATTTTCCTGTTTCATAATGTAAACTATGAATGAAGACTTTATTCTAAGCTTCTTTTTCCTAATGAGTTTTTGTTTTGGTTTTTTTTGACAGTTTGCAATGCTATAAAGCCTTACGTGGAGATAATAACTCATAAAAGAAAATTCTTTCTTGTCTTGAAATGTTTTTGAAAAAACAGTATCAACATCACTTAAACTGAGAATACCAAAAGAAATTACCCTTTTCCTCCACATACATATACAAAGATTACACAGGGAAAAACAACAAAAAAACCTGTGGTGGGAAATAAGAAAGGAACTTCAGTGAAATCAATGACTTACTGCTATTATGTAAAAACTTCAAATCTGAAGCAGAAATTAGGACAATTAATTTAGAAGATCCTGCATCAGAAAATCATTATTTTTCATAAAGTTTAGTCAAATTATTAGAGCAGCAGCTTTTTGAGGAGAGAATCTCTGAAAAAAAAATAAAGTGTTCTATAAGTGCAATGAAAATGTTATCAATTTCCCATTTTAGACATGCTAAGAACTGCTGATTGAAAAAGTTTTACCTAATGCATACACTGTGTGAGGATATTATTATTTCTATCTGTACTCACAGAAAATTCAAACTCAAAAAAATAAATTCACGATTTTTTTAAAAAATTGGTTCCATTGCTTTAGTATGTGTGTATTGATAATCCTGGTAAAAAATACAATGGTTTCAAATATACAAAAAATACTAAAAAAAAAAAAAGAGAAATTCAGAGAACCGGGTCAAGACTCCGTAGTAGTCTGAGCAGAAATGTATATGGCATCATATCATACCGTCTTATATCATATCAACTTCTGAATACAAATAGTTTTGAAGAAGTCATGAATTCTTGTATTCCTACTGTACTTGCACTTGAGTTGTGAAATGACAGATCCAAAATACATAACAGGTTTTACTCATTTAATAACTCAATTAGAAAGGGGATTTTTTTTTGTATTATGAGACCCCTCACTGCAGATTTGATTTGAGAATTTTTAAATGGACATTTTTACTTCCCTAGCCTTTTAATAAGATAATATTGCTGGTTTCATAATGTGATTTTTCATCACACTTGAGGTTTTAAGAATAACTCATATTTATTTTGTTATTTCTTATGGCATTCAGCACAAGGAGTGAGGGTCTCTGAAGCAAAAGCGTTCCATTTTTTTAATTATTCCTTTTTTTTCAGTTGTTGTTTCCTGCATTTCCTGCATTAGCTTGGCACTGATTCATGAAAGAGCTCTTAAAAATCTTAGAACCATGGATTTAGATGCTTTTTAAACTGCAGTTTTAGCAAATGATGCAATGGGCCGTATCTAAATAAAACACTTGTGGCCTTTTCTCTGAAATCAATCATCTAGAATCCATTTTAGCTCACGCAGAGTCAGACCTGCCAGAAGGATATTGAAATCTAACTGCTCAATGATCAGCAACAAGAAAACAAGGAAAACAGATTTAGCTTTTCAGCCCCACTCCCAGAGGGACATTCATGCCTACAAAGATACCATTTCTTTGACACCTGTGCAGCTGACCACCCATGCTGCAGAATGATGCTTCTGGTTCTTCTTCATTCTCTCTCCTGGGTTAATTCTGTCCTGGGCAAACTGTTGGGTATTCAGCTCTAAAGAGTCTACAGTGTCATAGTGAAGCAGAACTTGTGATAAGAATAGTAAAATGTGACTTATACAGCTAAGATGAAATCCAGTTAGACTGAGCTTGATTTGGGCTTTACTGATATTAGCAAAATATATTTGATAAGAGTGAATGTGCAGAGACAAAGAGTTGGCACTGGAGATATGAAACTTAGATTATGTAAGATTATTTTAAGATGGTTATTTTAGACCAGCTCTAGTTTGATCCTATAGACTGGATGCTCACCAGTAATTTGGTGAATTAGATGTGATCTTGGAGTTTTTTCATTTTTTATGTTTGTTCCATAAAATTAAATTCTGTTCACATGCTCCAAAACAGTTGCATGACAAGAACAAAAGCAGAGAAAGTAGGGAAAAAATGTGAGATTTGCTTCAAAAGCACCTCCTGGGCCCAGCTAAAATGTTAGTGTAGAACCGTTCTTATGATTCTGGTAGATTTAGGGCCAAGTTGCCAACTTACCTGAATATCTAGAGCCATGGTAAAATGAGGAACATAGCTTTAAACAAAGGAAAAGGAAAGGAGAAAGTGAAGGGGAAGGTGGCAGGGGAAAGGGAAGAGAAATAAAAAGCTGAAGGGCAAAGGGAGTGGAGAAAAAGGTGAAAGGAAAGCAAAAAGGAAAGAGAAGGAGACATAGAAGGGGAAGTGGGAAGGGAAAGGGAAAGAGAAGATGGAAAAGGGAAAAGGGGCAAGAGTCTAGCCTTTAAGAACATGTAAACTGAGAAAGCATTTGAACAGGTTTATTTCTATGTACTTGATCTTGTACTGTAATCTTAATAATTTTCAACTTTTAAAAAAAATTTTTTTTTGTAAACCTGTTCTTCCTGCCATTCTAATCTAGTCCATCATGGTAGTATTTCACTGATTAACAGTACTATGGATTTTTTCCTTTGATAAAAATGTGGGTTCTATGACATCAGATATCAACCTACTTTTGAATTTACTTTGGTTTTGCTTTGATTATAGCTGAGAGGGTTGGTTTTTTTCCCTGGATATAAGCAATACTTAGTATCAGAATACTTTGAAAATAAAACCTTAACTTTTTAATCTGAATAATTTTTAATGACTTTTAAAAGTATAAAACATTTAAATTGTGAAAAGTTTTGTTGTTTTTTTTTTGCTTCCTTAACATCAAAATAAAGCCTTTTACTTCCATGTGTGTAAAATATTTCACTTAAACAAATCAGATTTGGTTGTTTGATTTGCTAAAAGTGTTGTTTTCTACTTTATGACTAGAAATGAAACTGCTATTTGTCACAGTTCTGATATTCTCATGATTGGAGAACTATAAATAGTTTTATCTTGAACTCGAGTAAATCAGACATATGTGCTAGGAGCCACTGAATTCAGTAGCCCAGCAGAGACAAGGTGGTGGCAGCTCCATGACCCTTAGTCCAGCCAGTAGCAAGGTTGAGCATATGTTCCAGGTAGGCACACACATCAATGTTGTGTAGACACATGTACGTAAAATACACCTAATGACAAGGCCAGACACATGAATGGACAAAAGCAGAAACATGCAAACTTTTGTAACAGAGGCAGAGACTTGGACTAGGTCTGTCTGGATAACAAAGGGTGGAGAGCCCACAACCTTTTATGATAATCTATTCCTCATAGTGAAGGAGTTTCTTAAGAGGCAATGTCATACTGGTATTGCTCCTTACTTTATCGTCTACCACTATCAAAAGAGTTTATATCCTAGAAAGGATGTAGCTCTTTAAGTGCCATTCAAGTAGTTACATCCTTCTCTTAGACCACCTCTTAGCATCCCTTATTCAAAAGAAGGGTGGCTCCCTCAGCCTCTCCTTGTAGATCATCTGCTCAAGGCCCTTGACCAGCACAGTAGCAATCCATTACATCCACTATTCCAGTTTCTTAACAGTGCTCTCAAAATGGACATAAGTATTCCAGATGCAACCCTATTAGCACAGGGTAGAGGGTTATAATAAGTTTGTTGAGTTTCCTTACCATGTTCCTCCTGAGGCAAGTCCAGTGTGTAGTTCACTTTACTTGTGAAGAGAGTGAAAAGTGGACTCAGATCCAGTACAGCATCTGGACCTTTATTCTTGAAAAGCTTCTCAAGTCTTATGCTTGCTTAGTGAAATTTATCAAGGTCCCTCAGAACTGCAGATTATTCTTTCATTGTGTCAATTAATCATTTTGCTCTATTGTTTCTGCAGATTTACTATGAATCTGCAATTAATCACCAATTAAAATAATTGATAATATGGGTCCCAGTGTGTCCCTGATACTATTATCAGCCACCAATAGGACACAAGCTCATTGATTCCCACCATTTGAGCTTAGCAATCCATCCATTTTACAGCACCCAAAACAGTGCTGTGTTCCAGACCTCAACTTCCAAATGAGAATGCAATGAGAGATGGTGTTACAAGACCTACCAGCATTCAACAGTATCATAGTCCCCTCATCCATACAGATAGCAATTTCTTTGCAAAAGGCAAGAGGACTGGATAAGCATCATCCTTGAAAAAAATCATATTGACTGCTCCTGGTTTCTGTCCTGTTCTTTACATCTCAGGAAACAGATTGATTCCATTACTTCAAGATATGTCTAGGGACAGAGGTGAGGCTTACTGGTCACAATTTCCCATGTCCCTCTTGCTCTTTTTAAAGAAATATATACTGCATTAATCATGTTCTGGTTTTCATTGACCTCTCCCAGTCACTAAATTATTTTCATAAAAAATAGAAAAAAGCCTTGTTATCAGCCAGCACTTTCATAATTTCCGAGTGAATCCCATCTAGTAGATGAATTTGAAGAGGTACTGCTCTTCTGAGTAGTCCCCAGTCTGAAGCTCCTTCACTGTGGCTGGCACCACTCCTGAAGTGACACTGTTATGGTTTGGAGCTGGCTCCCTGCCAAGTCTCCAGACCTCACCACAAGGAGTCCCCCCCCTCACCCCAAAACCAAGGGAGAAGAGGGGGAAAAAAACCGAAAGAACCGAAAACGAGAGAGAGACAAAGTAATGTATATAAATATATTTACACTTATATTTACAGTTATATACAGTTGAAATATATAAATATATATAATTTCACAGGGAAAGGGGAAGGGAAGAACAAAAACCAAAATAATATATATATATATATATATATATATATAATATTATCCCGTTCAGTAGCCCAAGGTCTATCAACTTAAAGAATTAACAAAGAAGATCTTACTACTCTCCTTGGGACAACGCAGAATCACGCTGGGGTGACTGGTGGCTGCCGGCGGCCTCCGCCTCCCAAGGTCGACAAGGCCTTACCAGGCCTCACTCTCCAAGCCAGCAGACTCAACACAGGGAGATCTGCACTTCCAAAGCCACCGGAAGGAAAGAGAGCGAAGGTCTTTCCTCCCTTCTTCTTATACCCCAGTTTACGTAAAAATCGTAGGGAATACCGGGTAAATCTGGGCACTTCCTTGGTTACAAGCTGGTCACCAAGGAAGGCCTGGGCCAAACTACCACAGACACTTAAAGAAATACTTGTCTCTCTGCAGATACTGGAGTCACATTTTCTGAATACATTTACTCCTGGCATATCTGTTACCCTTTAAGTCCCTAGATAGTCTTAGTTCCAAATAAGCTTTGTCCTGTCTGATTAGCATTACTGTCCCTAGTAATGCTATCATACTGTTCTGATCTTTCCTGAACTTGTCTCTAGTTTTTCTATGCTTTCTTTTTGCATGTCAATTAAGTAAGAAGATCCTTGGGTATGTTGCTGGAAATTCAAGGTTTTCCACAGAAAAGAATGTTTTGCTCCAGTTTTCTCTGTTTTCATTAAAACTCAAACAGCTTTTTCTCTCCATAGCAACTTCCCAGAGATTCTGATTAGATGAAATTAGCTGATGTCTACTTTTCTAAAACCTTTTTCTATCCTTTCAAAACTCATATGTAAAAATCTACAGAGTTCTTTTTTTACTAGCAGACAGCTGGAAGTTGGAAGGCTGCCAAACTGAAGGGAAGTGGAAACCATATTTTCTGTAATGCAGTCAACAGTCCTTAATCAGACCCAGGACCCTGAGGGCTCTAAGGTAATTCATTCCACTCAGCGAAATGGAAAATTATTAAAATAACATCACATACTTCTATAATGTCTTCTCTCCAGGGTTCTCAAAGTGCTTTGTAATAATTAATTAATTAACTAAGCCTTGAGACATGACTTTGGCCTAAAATACTACTGTACTCCAATCTACAAATGAATCTGCTCATAATAAATATGTATGCCAGTTAAAGAAAGGTGGTGGGCCTGTAAGCTTGCCTATTCTTCCAGTTAAAGTAAAGGTATAAGAAAAATGAGATTAATTGCCTTTTTGTGATGATAGCCTTTCTTCATTGGCCAGAGACTAGAGGCATACCTTAAACAACTCCCTTATATCCAAAAAGAAATCCTGTGTTAAATATGCATTAATACAAAATGTAACCAGATATTGTAGCAGAGGGACACTTCAATAAATTGAATGGTAAAGGATAAAAAACAAGGAGGGGGTTGTGGGGTTTTTTTGTTGTTTGTTTTTTTTTTTAAGTATCATTTTTAGTTTTGATGTAATCTCCCAATGGGAAATAAATTTCAAATTCATTTTTAAAAATTGAAAGCAGCAAGTGGAATAAGGAGATGATTCTGGTACTCTGCTAGGAATCAGAACATGCAGATTCTGGAAACTATTCTTCCAAGCTGGAACAGAATCCCGAGACACATCTGCCATTACAAAATATGCTGGCTTTTTTTCAATAACTCTCTCAGTTCTGATTGCTGTATTAAAAAAATGTTATTTGCTAAAAGTTCCTGTGACATATCTACAAAACTCATAGATGTGAAAAATCAGGAAACTAAATGTTGGCTACGAAACTAGGCCTTTCCCCGTGATCAAAGTGAAGGGTTTGTCTATAAAATGTAAAATTTGCTTTTCTAGGAAAAAAAGTATGATATATATGTCTGTACATTTGACATTTAGCATTAAGTTCCAAGATTTCATAATCTGATTGAATTCCCCAGCAGATATATCTGCTATAATGACATGGGATACTGTAATATCTAGACATAGAGAAGAATGGGATAAAAGACAAATATGAATCTTTTTAATGCACCCAATTTAATTGCAGATTTCTTAGTTTTACTGAATGAGTGTCAAACACACGAACAAAATCAGAGAAGACATCTTAAATTAATGTCGTATCAAGGTTAGTATTACAATATGGATCAATTTAATTTTCATTGGTATGTTTTTTTGTTGTCAGCCATGACCTTAGTTGAGATAAACACATTCAGTGATTGATTTTTTACTGTTTCAAATTTTGGATTTTAGAGAAGAACCTTAGCTGATTTTAATACTAATTTACCAATGTTTCTTTTACTTTATGTCTTTTGCAAGAACAAACCCCAAATAGTCAAGATGTTTCTAAGGTAATATTAAGGAATTTTTCAATACAAAACATTTTTGGTTATGGTTCAAATGGACTGAAAACCCAAACTATTCTATGATTCTACAAGAAAGAGAGACTCCATGATGTTTCAAAGTTAAAATCAAAGAATCAAATAAGACATCTTTACAAGTATCTAGTATGATGACATCTAAAATTTCCATACAAAATGCTTGCTTGCTTATACTGATCTCAGAAAGCTTTAGTTGATAAGGAACAGTGTATAAAACCCAATGCATTAGACTTGCATAGTTTAATACACAAGGGGAGCCCATGGGTGAAGACTTCTTTCTCCAGCTGAAGGAGCTCACAGGCTCTTGTCCTGCTGGGGGACTTCAACCCACCCTGACACCTGCCGGAAAATTAGCACAACAAGCTGTGGCAATCCAAGAGACTCCTGGAATGCATGAAAGATAATTTCATGAGCCATGCGTTACTGGATCTGTTGGTCACCAATGTAAGGAAGCAAATTGGGGACATCAAAACTGAAGGCAGCCTGGGCTACAGGGATCATGTATTCTTGGAGTTTGGAGTCCTGAGGGAAATTTGCTGATGACACCAAGCTGATTGCTGTGGCTGACACACCTGGAGGACAGGATACCATCCAGAGGGACCTGGACAAGCTCAAGAAACAGATCCATGGGAACCTCAGAGGTTTAACAAGACCAAGTGCAAGGTGTTGTACCTAGGTTGGGGCAGCCCCCCGTATCAATTCAGGCTAAAGGGATGAACAGATCAAAAGTAGCCCTTCTGAGAATGACTTAGGGGTGCTGGTGGATAAGAGGCTGGACATGAGCCGGCAATGTGCACTTGCAGCCCAGAAAGCCAATCTTTTGGGCTGCATCAAAAGAAGTGTGATCAGCAGGTTGAGGGAGGTGATTCTGCCTCTCTACTCCACTCCGGTGAGATCCCACCTGGAGTACTGCATCCAGCTCTGGAGTGCCCAGCACAGGAAAGATGTGGACCTGTTAGAGCGAGTCCAGAGGAGGCCACCAAGGGGATTAGAGGGATGAAACACCTATCCTGTGAGGAAAGGCTGAGAGAATTAGAATTGTTCAGCCTGGAGAATCGAAGGCTTCAAGGTGACTTCATTTCAGCCTTCCAGGACCTAAAGGAGACTAAAAGAAAGATGGAGAAAGACTATTTGCAAGAGCATGTAAAGAGAGGACAATGAAGAAAGGCTTTAAACTGAAAGTGAGTGGGTTTAGATTAGACATTAGAAAAATATTCATTGATGTGAGGATGGTGAGACACTGGAACAGGTTGCCCAGAGAGGTTATGGATGCCCCATTCCTGGAAGTGCTCAAGGCCAGGATGGATGGAGCTCTGAGCAACCTGATCCAGTGAAAGGTGTCCCTGCCCATGAAAGGGAGGTTGGAACTAGATGATCTTTAAAGTCCCTTCCAACCCAGAACATTCTATGATTCTCTGTTCTTCCACATTTCCGTTCTATGTGCGGCAAATCCATAGGTACTTCTCAGGATGCTGGAATAACTTTGACCAACTTTGACTGACTTTGAAAACTACAAGCTAAGACTTCTTAAAAAAAATTGAGTTACATGCTGTAATTCATAATGGACATAGGTTGACAGACCTTGTATTTAAAGGTAACTCTTTAACGTGTCTTAAAAGTATATATGCTTTATCCAACATAGAATGAATTATGAAAGTAGCTCATGATTATTCCAATTGTTATATTTTTGTATGTTCAGTCTGTCATCTGGGCACTCAGCTCATTCTACTTAACTTGTATGAAAATACTTTTTTAAATATAGTGCAGAACACTTTATATAACTATGTGGTTTTAAATGCTTTAATGAACAATTGCTGCACACAGTATTTTCTTGATTCCAAAGTATCAGGAATGATCTATGTAATCGTACTTAATCTGGCAATTGACCAGCTAACCCATACACAGAATAGTTCTATGAATGACAATTAAAATAAGTCTGCAGATATTGAAAGGCAAATGAAAGCAATGGGCATTTCTACTGAAGTGAAAGAAAGTGAAAGTGGCTGTAAAATGGAAAAAAATCAGTGAATCAAACTGAACATTCTTGTACAAAAATCTAGTGTGAGTTTTAATATGTATTTTACTTTCTGTTCTTTTTAATGCTGCTTCTGTAAGGTCTTGCAGAAGCATTTTGTTCTTGCTAACTTTCCGAGTTGGGATTTTTTTCAGAAGGATTACATTGTCAAAATTATTTTCTGTATTTCCTAGTATATATTGTATTTTAATCTCCTGTTTGTGTCTTTTTTGTGTTTCAAATGTGTGAACTATTCCAGGTTGTTTTTCAAAAATTGCTGGTTTTAGAAAGCAGAGATTTTGATGTGACTCTTATCTGAATTATTGCTGACAATGTAATATCTGTATTTTTCTAGCCTGAATGAGTTCTCATGACTGGTATTTTTCTACAGAGTTGCACATATTTTTTTTTCTTAGGACAGTTGCAATGTCATATATTATGTGTATGGCTGGTGTTATCACTATCTATAAGCAAATGTCAGAAAAGTGTCATTTAATGGACAAAGTTAAAACAATAGAATTTTTAAAAATGTATACAAAATTTAATTTTTATGCATTTTATAGTTATTTTTAAGAAAAAATAGCTGCATATATAATTATTAAGGAAATAATTGAAATGCACAACTTAGTAAACATCATACAGTGGGAATCAAACAGCTGGAAACCAAACCTGTCATGCCATTTCCGTGGTTACGATTTACAGACACAGAAATATATTTGGAGGACTTTCAGTACTCAAAATTACAGGACATGCCAATAAAAGACATAGTGTCTGACAAAGCGTGCAACAGAATATACAACCTGCATCCCAGCATCATACAAACAAGACCATAAAACTACATTTGAAGTTGTGTTACAGATGGATAACCTGATGTCAAGGAACAAAATTGTGTTCTTATATTAGTATATCACAGCATAAAATATAAAGAACCACAAAGAAAACAAAAAACAAACAAAAACCCAAACAAAACCAAACCAAACAAACAAACAAAACACAAGAAAACCCAAACCAACACATCTACCTTCAGATCCAGAAGAAAACTAAGATTCAAAGTTAAACTGAGTCCTTACCCCAAACACAATTCGCTTTCAAAGTGAACTCACACTCATTCTATTTTTAACGAGGTGAATAAGTCATCAATGGATTTCAGATTGACATAACTTCTGCAAAGTGAACCCAAAATCATTTTATGTGTCTAAATATTTGGCAGGAAACTTCTAGCAAGGGTTAGAGCAGAAGCTAGAAGAAATATGTAATAAGCTGCCACATATGCCAAGTCAAGACCACTGGATATACAGGGGGACTATCAACTGTATTGCTCTGTGAAAAAGGAGGGTAGGATGGAATACATTTACCGAAATTGGTATAAGTGCCTTATCAGAGCAGAATCATTCCACCAAAATATTGCAATTTCAACAGTGTTTTCAGTGCAAAAGTTTTCTTTAGTCTGAGGTGGAGACTCCAGTAAGTTTCAGAAAGAAGTGAGAGGAAAAGGGGGAAGAAGCCTCAAAATTTACCATTTTCAGTGGAAGCTTCTGACATAGTACATTGAAAATTATTTGAGAAGTTTTTATTTAATTTCAAAGGATTAAGATTTTGAAACCTCAATAGTTAGTATAACGTTCAGTTGTTTCCTGGATAGGTCCAATGAAAAAGACACTTAAAAACTGAAGTATATGTGAACTACAAATAAAAATAGAAAATACATCCATACCTAATAATTCCATTTGAACGATACTAGTTTCCCTTCAGAGTGGTAAGAGACTGAATGTATGGGGTTAACAGAAGCTAATCAAGTAAAAGCAAGATCTTGCAAAAGGCTGTCCATACCTTTCCTTAGTTAATATGGTGTTTTCTCAATGAAAGTATTAGAGAGAAGTAGCAGCATTAAGTGCATCAAATTAAAAAAATAGATACCATGTGCCAAAAGAGAACCCCAGGAGACCAGTATTCCCAGGATTAATTTATTTACCATCCCTGACTCTGTTTCAACAGATTCTGATTTTGGGGATTAGATGTTGTTTTGTTATGGTATGGGTTTTTTGTTAGGTGTTGTTTTGTTTTTAATCTTGCCTACTTCTGAAGCCTGTTTTTAAGGCTTGTCAGACTACCTCATTTGCCATCTTCTATTGTCTCTCCTCACTCTTTACTTCACTGACTTTTCTTTATCCAGAAAGAGATAGTTGCAATATTGCATGTATTGTGTCACTATGCATGTGATATTAGTTAGGTTTTTTCCCCTGCACTCAGTCTTTTGCCAAAATTCACATATTCAGCAGGCTTCACCTGCCACACAGTCAGAAAATACCAAGTAGGTGGCACTTCATAGGAATAATGTCTCAGCAGGAGTCATTTAAAATGTAGCTTTTGAAAAAGTTCTTTAAAAAGAAAAGAGTCATAGAGAATATGATAACACTGAAGTAAAACACTCATTTCATATGTTTTTAAAAAGAACAAAATATGTTTGGAAGCAATTAAGTTTAAAAATGGTATGATGTGCTTTTGACATATTACAATTCAATGTCAATAATGTTCAAAACACAAATGCCCTGAATTTGTATATATGCAGAATAGGTCTCTCAAATAACTTTTGACAACCAACACATACATTTTATTCGGAAATGCTGATATATTTCTTTTTTATTTTGATATAAGAAAAGTATAAACAACAAATGAAATGCTTTTGCCTACCAAAGGTGAAAATGAAAGATGTCAAAGATGTGGTCACATTTTCTCTTATGCTAATAATTTGTTTCAGCTCCAGATAAACAGTTTCCATAGAATGCACATGATGTTTATTAGAGTCTTCTGCAAGACCAATTTCCTTTCTGATATATTCTTTCACAGATTTTATTATTAAAAAGGGACAAGAAATAGAGAAGAAGAAATCAAGATCAGATCTTCTTTAATTGATAGAAAAGGGCAATATATTAAAAAAAATTAGGAATATATGCAATATTTTCACAGTTATTTTAAGCAGTAATAGCTATATGAAGATGCTACGGATTCTGTTCATAGTAATATAGCAGACTTGAAAACATAAAGATCTAAACAACTACCTCTGGATAAGACGAGGCCAGGGAAAGAATATTTGGCCAAAATAAGCCAGCACTTTATGTATGGCACCAGATCCAGGTCCACAGTAGGCTCTTCATTATTTAAGCTTTCATAGTTGTTTTCCCAAGACACTGGTCCTTGTTCTGAGATTGACTTTCACAAAAAGGTCAAAATATGGAGAAATGCCCTCAATTGCATGATTTCAAAAGTCATATTATGCTGTAAGACCAAGAATCAAACCCTTTAAATTAAAAAATAAATACAATAAAACTGCTTGTTAGTGTTTCATATATCAATGATTATCAACCATACTCCCTAAGAGTATTTTTAACAGATATC